TAACATACCGATGACAAAGGGAACCAAATATGTTGTTATGCGGTTTGACCGATAAAGATCTTCGTGCAATATGTAGGAACCAATATGAGCATCCAGGTTCCGCTATTGGTTATTGACCGGAGATGAGTCTCGGTCATGTCTACATAGTTCTCTAACCCATAGGGTCCGCACGCTTAACGTTCGGTGACGATCGGTATTATGAGTTTATGTGTTTTGATGTACCGAAGGTTGTTCAGAGTCCCGAATGTGATCACGGGCATGACGAGGAGTCTCGAAATGGTCGAGACATAAAGATCGATATATTGAAAGCCTATGTTTGGACATCGGAATAGTTTCGGGTAAGTTCGGGAATATACCGGAGTACCGGGAGGTTACCGAAACCCCCCGGGAAGTATATGGGCCTTATTGGGAGCCTAGGAGGGGGCGCGCGCCCCCAAGCCCAATCCGAATTGGGTGGGGGGCCGGCCCTCCTTTCCTTTCCCTCTCTCTCCCCCTTCCTTCCTCTCCTAATCCAACTAGGGAAGGGGGGAATCCTACTCCTAGTGGGAGTAGGACTCCCTTGGGCGCGCCATAGAGGGCCGACCCCTCCCCCTCCTCCACTCCTTTATATACGGGGGAGGGGGCACCCCATAGACATACAAGTTGATCTCTTAGCAGTGTGCGGTGCCCCCCTCCATCATAATCCACCTCGGTCATATCGTTGCAGTGCTTAGGCGAAGCCCTGCGCCGGTAGCTTCATCATCATCGTTATCATGTCGTCGTGCTGACGAAGCTCTCCCCCGACACTCAGCTGGATCTCGAGTTCGTGGGACGTCATCGAGCTGAACGTGTGCAGACCGCGGAGGTGTCGTACCTTCGGTGTTAGGATCGGTCGGATCGTGAAGACGTATGACTACATCAATCGCGTTGTCATAACGCTTCCGCTTACGATCTACAAGGGTACATAGACAACACTCTCCCCTCTCGTTGGTATGCATCACCTAGACGGATCTTGCATGTGCGTAGGATTTTTTTTGAAATTACTGCGTTTCCCAACACCAGTCTAGTAGTCCTAGTAGTATCAAGGAAAAACAATGCATGGTATTTTACGAGTCCAAACTCTCAAGGGTATGAACTGAGACTTGGGGAAACATAAGTTTCCATTTTATAGTTACTAGCACCATGCTACATTTCTTGTAGATCTTTCTTTTAGAGATTTCATTTTTTGCATTTCCTGTAAGTCGGAGCAATGAGGCTATAATCCCAAGTGAATTGTCAGTCGGATTTTAAATTTCCCTCAAATCCAAGCTAATGACGAATGGCATAGCACTATGCATGCCCGTCTCCTAGAAACACTCATGTGAAGTCATCCAGACCTCCCACAAGCTCCTGGGTAGTGGTCAATGTCAAAAACAACTTTTTTTTTCGGGGCAACAATTTTATTACTCGCCTCGCCAAGGAAAATCGAGAGGGTAAGTGATTGGATGGTTAAAAAGTGGTCATACCTCCAGCGGACCGGAGATCAAATTTCAAATTTAACGTCCAATGTGTCCTATATTAAAATGGAATATTTACTTTAGTGGGATATGATGCACCCGTAATTAGAGGGCTTAAACTGCACTCGGTGTTTCGAAAAAACATAGAGCGAAATAACAAAAAAAAATGTCTATTTGCATGTGAACCTAGATTCTCTCTTTCCAGTTTCCACCCGAGTTAATTGGTATGTATTTTTTTCCTCGGCAATGGTAGAGGGTTCCTTTGAGTCTATAATATTTCATCTAAACTTTGCCAAAATTGATTGTGAGGTACAAAATGTTCGTGTGTCAAAAAATCTGGGTAAGGGCTCCTTTGGTTCAAAAGAAAAGTGGAGTAAAAACGTAGAAATGGTATTATTCATGCCTTTGGTTGAAACGAACGGGGCAAAGTAAAAGTGGAGGAAAATTTCCTTTGATCTCAGTTTCAAATGAAAAACACACAAATTCTAACATACACTTGGACCTCTTTTTAAAATTCATAAGCACAGAGAACGAGACTAAGATCCTTAGTAGCATAATTACGAATTTCCATGTGATTTGACCAAATTTTATTAGAATTCTTGCGCTTTTTTTATTCATCTTATTTACTATGCTCCCTAATTTTAGAGTCCTCCCATTCAATTGAGGTGTTCAATTTTGGATTTGTTTCACGATTTTCATCAGGTCAACTATTTCTCAACGAGCCATCTCATTCAGTTAAGGTATTCAATTTTGGATTAGATTCACGATTTGGACTGGATCAATGATTTCTCAAATTAATCGGTGGCGACCAGCCTGTTAAAATATATAAGTCCCTTCAGCCCTTTTGCCACCTAAAAACGCATCAGTCCTCATAACACCTATGTTTCTCCAAATAATCTAATTCACTATGCTCCTTAACTTTGGAGCTCTCCCATTTAATTGAGATGTTCGTTGGATTTGATTCATGATTATTCTCAATGAACCCTCCCATTGAGTTACAATATTTTAATGTTGGATTTGATTCGCAATTTTGACTGGATCAACGATTTCTCAAATTGATCTGCAGTCGCCAGCCTGTAAAAACACATCAGGCCCGTGTACCTCTCACCATATAAAAAACACACTAGTCCTCATAACACCTTGTTTTCATCTAATTCATTATGTTTTCCAATTTTGGAGCCCTCCCATTCAATTGAGTTGTTCAATTTTTTATTTGGTTCATGATTTTGACCCTTTCAACTATTTCTCAACGAGGTTTTTCATTCAGTTGGGGCATTCAATTTTGGATTTATTCCATGATTTTACTGGGTCAATGATTTCTCAATTAATCAGCAGCAATCAACCTATCAAAACACACCGGTCTTGTGCACTCTCATCGTCTAAAAAAAGGAGCCTCAACATGTGACGTTGTAGAACCAATATACTACATGCAGCCACCAATGCAAGAAACTTCCCCACACAAGTATTGATTGAATACCCTGCAAAAAAAGTATTGATTGAACAAATAATCACACCGCCAAGAAAGCCAACTAAAACACCGATTTTTTTCACCAGTGGTCGTTTGATTCGTGGGGTTGAAATTCTTAGGAAAGTTTCCATAGGATTAATTTGTACTCCATTTTGAAGAAAAATGTCCATCAATTGAAACCACTTGGTAGAATTTCTTTAGTTGTATGTTCTATCAAACATTCTTCCATCTGATTCCTATAGTTTTGTAACCCTATAGGATAAAAGAAGGCATGTCTCTATGTTCCTATGTTTTTTTCTACCTACACTTTGAGAATTCTATCAAACATATCAAGTAACTGGATTTCCCCCTCTTTTCGAAAGAAAAAGACAAGACAAGATGTAGTTCCAAGATAACATGCTCATCATGATTGTATTAGCTTGATATACTCTTTATATTGGTTGAATGAAATACCTTTTTATCAACAAAAAAAGTCCAAGACAAACACCTCTTGGGCGACAATGCAGGTGCAAGTGAGTTAGGAGCGCAAACGTACACCTCTCGTCATGCAACGTGCACGATGATCCACAACTCTAAATGGTGGTTGAGTCCACTTGCGACGACATGAGTCAAGCAAGTGAGAGTCTACCTGACATTCCCCTCTAAACCACCATGCCAAACATTCTTTTCCTTTTATCACATTGCATCTGTCGACTAGACGGCCATAAAGGCAAAGCACTCTTGGATCACCCCAGCCGATCCCAAATTTCCTAATCGGTCACATTTTCGCGCACTCTAACCTTTTGCACTTGGCCATGAAGAAAAAGGGGGAGTAATTTCAACTTTTCATGTGTTTCTAGGCTGTACTTTTCCATCTTGGTGCATGCAACAGACCGTAGAATCTTTGATAGGAAAAGCCACGAAGACTTCTGTTGCAAATATCCCGCGACCACTAGTCAAGTCTCCTGCATGAACCGGAAACCAGCAGCGCCACTGGTAAATTACTGGAGCGGCGTATGGTCCACTGAGAGCATTCCAGCGTTTTCCAATTCCTATGAAACAAACATCCAAGTTGAGTTCTCGTTTGATTCAAAAGAATTATAAAGGATTTTTTTGGAGGATTTGGAACCTTTGAATTTTTTTTCCTATGGTGGCCATTTGATTCGCAGGGTTGAAATCCTTAGGAATTTTTCGATAGGATTAACTTGTACTCCACTCTAAAGAAATTTTTTTATCTGTTAAAAGCTCTTGGTAGAATTTCTTTGTTTTTTCCATGCTATCGAACATTCTTTCATCTAAATGCCCATAGTTTTGTAACCCTATAGGATACAAGAAGACATGCCTCTATGTTCCCGTGTTTTTTCTATTCCGGTGTTTTGAGAATTATGCGAAACAAGAGTCTATATTTATGTGTTACGGTTTACGAGTCCGCTGTTTTGCGCATCCATTTCTGTCCTATTCCCGTGTCTTTCATACTCCTGCGTTTTTATAATCCTGTGAACCTAAAGAGCCCTAAATTCAAAAGGAGGCTCAAAATTTGGTCAATTTCGCCATTTGTTCTAATGAAATCTATTCAAAGCAATTTGACAATTTTAAGAACCATGAGTCGTTTCTACGAGGACCCGAAGGACGCGCTACTGGTGTGATTTATGGCCATATGGTCATCATTGTATACCAACAATTGTGACGTTTTCCCATCATGTACACCAATATTATTTTTTCATATTAGCGTCTCTCATAGGGCATTTTTGACGCGAACACGAGAGCCATGCAAGGCGAAAATAAGTACAAAGTGCGTCTTGTTTCTTCTGCCATTTGCTAGTGGCTGCCGTTGATCCTCGTACATTCCGGCAAGCAGCGTGTGAAAACCGGAGAAATTTTCGGTGACCCACCGGCGGCAGTTGACCCACCGCCCCGGTCATTCGTGCAGCCGTCCCAATCATGGCGGGAACTGCACCTTCTGGTCGTCTCTCTCCGACGGCGACGCCGCGCACCGATCGATCGATCTACCGGCAAGTGGACGGGTCGCTATCCCCTCGCCCTGACGGCAATGCAATCGCGGTCCCGGGGCGGCTCGTTCAGGGCGCCGGCGTGTGGAAGAAGAGGCAGACCGCCGAGCAGTCGTCGACGGCGACGCCCCGCCGCTTGCGCCTCCACCCGCGGACGGCGCACTCGACGAGCCGCTTCGCGGCCTTCTCCCTGTCCGGCGTCGCCGCCACGATCCGCACGGCCTCCTCGTTGGAGAGCACGTCCCAGACCTGCCCAAGATGTTCGCCATGCATGATCAGTCCGCTGTACTGAGAATAGAAATAGTTTGCGACTGTGCAAGAATCTGTCGCTTACCCCGTCGGTGGCGAGGATGACGAACTGGTCCTGGGCGGTGATCCTCCTCTGCGTCACCTCCGGCGCCGAGATCACGCCGTAGTCCTTGACGCAGTAGTCGCCGAAGGCCCGCGACATGGCCAGCCCCGGCGCCTCCCGGTGGGGCACCCACACCCGGTGCACGCCGGGCTCGTCGTCGAGGCAGTGCACGCGGCCCTCGCACTGCGTGATGCGCGCCTTCTCCTCTGCAAACCAGATTCGACCGCGGGTGAGCAATGGCCGTCTCAAGAATGGTCTTCTAGTCTTGTCACGACGACTTACGGGGCAGGTCGGGCTTGAAGTCGACGGTGAGCTGGACGGCGGTGACGTCGCCGTCGTCGGACGTGGTCGCGAGGACGGCCCGCGAGTCGCCGACGTTGGCGACCACCATCAGGTCGCCCTGCTTGACGATGGACAGAGCCGTGCAGCCGCTGTTGACGGCGTCGAGGCGCCGGCTCCGGCGGAGCTCGTCGTCGACGGCGGGGGCGGCGGCCAGGTAGGACTGCCTCAGGAGGTCGAACTGGCAGTCGCCGAGCCTCTTCTCGCCGTCGATGAGCGACGCCAGCGCGACGGCCTCCTGCCAGCGGCACAGCAGCCGCTGCGGCAGCGACTCCCGGACGGCCTTGGCGACGTAGTGGCCCCACTGGCCGTGGCCGTCGAAGACCCCGCAGAAGATGGTGTCGTCCTGGCACCCGTATCCCTGGATACAGAAGCAAACAGAGCCGTAAGAAATCCAGAAGAAACGAAAATATTGAAACTTCTTCTTTATCAAGATCGGGAAGAAACGAAAATATTGAGACGACGGGTGCAATTCAGCTTCCATTTACTGTGCATGGCAAATGGAAATCCAAGATTTGGGCGTGCCGTGATAGATTTTATCTTTTGCGTGGTGTGACACGATAGAATTGACAACCAAGTGAACGAGCCGGCCTTTTTTGTGCCGGTAGGTCATCGTTGCCCTTTTCTCTTTTCTTTTTTGATTGAAATGAGGCCACCGTTGTCCTTACTGAACTGAATAGCCAAACTAGCTCGCGTTTCTAATCTAGTGAAGTTTAAGGGGGTGTCATAAGTTTATAAAAGCTAAGATTTTCATTCCGAAAAAATGTAGAAAATCTGATATTCCTGCGAAGATGTAGGAAATGACATGTTCACGTTTTCTCCCATCACAATCAGTAAGTTAAGTGTTTAACTGTCCGAAGCAACTTTGGATTCAGATACCAAGACACACAACACCTTTTTTGCTCCAACAAATCCAAGACACGTACCATCCCTTTTTTGGCAGATACTAGTACTACGGGATGAAACGCCTAGAGGCAAAAGGCAAGCGCCGTATCCAAGAACCTTGTGAAAAATATGATCCAGGATCGTCTCAAGAAGCAACACGTAGTCGGGTGAATGGCCTAACGATAGTTTGGCTCGTACCGAACTGAACCATCTCACGAAAATATCAGAAAAAATGGTTAGGTGAACAACGGAGGGAGACGGGATCCGATATCTATTTTATTTGGTACACGTAAGGCAAGCACATGAAAACTGATTTATTTCTTCTGTGGCCAGAAATGAGAAGAAGAAGCCGGCGACTAGTCCCGACTCCCGACGCTGTACCCTCGCCATTTTCTGTGGAACAGAGACCATGTCGAGTAGCAGAAACTTATGTTTGGAAGGCGGGAATTAAATTGTGTGGCAAGAAGCTCTTGATCATTGACCACACGCCACCGGTAATACGTCGTGATAACCAGCGTGAAAATTCATAAACAGGCAAGGGAGGAAGCAGAGGAGCGGCGATGGAACTCACCTCCCAGACGATGGAGGTGTCCTGGTTGGTGCCCTTCTCGCCGCGGCGGGAGCACGCGGCGGCCAAGGTCTCTGAGCCCTCGCCCCAGAGCGTCCCCGACGACCGCAGCACCGTCCCCTGCGCCTCCTCCGCCTGCTTCCTCTCCTTCCCCAGAGACATGGAGCGGGCCAGCCCCTGCAGCATCGACGAGATCTGCCGCATTCTCGCTAGCCCAGCTCGATTGTACGGAGAGCTTCTTCTTCTTCTTCTTCTTCTTCTTCTCCCTTGCTCTCTTAGTTTCTCGGTGATCGGCAGGGGTGGTGCTCAGGCAAGAACTGAGCACAGGCCGGCCATGTATATGGCTAGGCTGGAGATGTCCCGATCGATGGTTTCTCCTGGATCTTTCTTGTTTGAGGGGCGTGGCTTTGGATTGAAGAGACGAGCTTGGAGTGGATATCTGGATAGGATCGGCCGGATCAACTTATACTTCACCAAGGAAGAAGGTGTAGAAGAAGGAACGGGGAGCGAGGATCGCTCAAATGCGGTCAGGCGACCGGCGAACAAGGCAAGGGCGCAAGGGAGGTGCGAATTGTGGTGGAGGTGAAGTGAAAGCTTGGGTGGGAGCTTATAAAGGAGAGGGGAGACGGGAGAGGGAGGGAGAGCCGTGGGTGCAGGGGAAGCTCGCGCGCGCGCACACACACACACACCATGCAGATGCAGGCGAAGCCACACCCACACGGTTTCCGCCCGTCGCTTGCACAGCAACACAACAGAGCGATGCGTGTCTTTCAGCTGCCTCGGCGTGTGCGTGCTCCGTCTCGCCCGCCTTTTGGTGGATGTGGATAAGCTGTGTCTCTGTGTGTGTGTGTGTGTGTGTGCGCGCGCGCGCCCCGCTCTGGAATGTGCACAGGCCGATGTCGACGGTTATGATCGACGTGCGAGCCCAATGAAAACGGAGGGGTGTAGTTGTGGGTCTTGCTGAACCTTTTGTGTCGAATAAGCGTCTTTGCGAGTACATTATCTTTAGGCCGATCTACGCAATAAATAAAGAATATGTTGCGGGAAATCTTAATAATGTATACTAGCTAGTACTCATTTGCATATGGATTTAATTAATTTATATGTATTTTTTCTGAATTGTTCGGATTGCTTACCAATTTATATGCCTGCTTGATATCTCTTTAACGCCGCGGAATCGTAAAATATTCGTAGTAGATCATGTTTTCTTTGCATGGTAGTAGATCATGTTTCTCTTCTTCTTCATCAAGTATCTCGAGGTGAATACAATATTTCTTTTCTTGTATAGCGTGTATGCGTATTAATTTGGAAAGTTATAATTTAAATTATTTTGGTAAATTACATGGGTCGCATCGGATACCTAAAATATTATACAACATACCCCTCCCCCCAAAGTGTCATTTATATTGTGGGGAAAACCCAGCGGGGTAGAAACCTGGTTCCCCTATCGGAAAACCAGTGGAGTAGAAACCGCGCTCCACTCTTGTGTATAGCTTATTTCTTGGCAAACAGAAGATGTTGTTTGTTTTTTATTTTAATCAGAAAATGAAGGCTACCGAGCAATTAAACACTTTGCTAATAATATTCTCCGCATATATTTTTTTCTTTTCTTTTGGTCAAATCAAATCATAGTTCCAAGTAGCAAATGCACGCAACGAAGTTTCGATCAGCGTAACCGTCAGCAGCAGCAGCAGGTGGCAATACTAATAAAAGCTATCCATAAACAGTTGATATGCTTGTTTATGAGCCCATTCCAACATCTCAGCAAGAGAAGGCGATATACTATCTGAGAGAGGCCGGCAGGTGATCCCCACCGTGTGCGAGCACTCAAACAGCATATAAAATGCTTCTTCCGGAGGCAGACGAGACGACCCCTCCTCTCTGATCTCTACCCTGCGCCCATCAACAACCGCACAAGAACGAACTTGGGCACCGCACGGGCAGGCGTCGTTTCGTTTTCTTAGGCCTTGTATAATGGGAGATGCTTAGAAAGGTGCTTAAAAAAATAAATCAAGTTTTTCTGAAGCACCGGTGCCTATTTTTATAGAAGAGACGCTTAGTTAAACGTCTATCCTGTACAAATAAGCACTGGTGCTTAAGAAAGGCCTGATTTATTTTTCTAAGCACCTCCCATTGTACAAGGCCTTATCATGCTGCCGGTTGTACGTGGAGAGCCACACATGTGACATGTTGTCTTGTGCGCCGGGGAAGGCCCCCTCCACCGGTTCGGCAGCACGTGACCGTGGAGCAGCGTCTTGCCGGATATCTCGTGGCCGTGGTGGTGCGGGGGTTCTTCTTTCTGCTGGGCTGCCAACCGATGGCAACAGAAAAATGGCTGGAGTGCCGAACCGGTGAGTTAGCCGCTTGAGTCCATTTATCATTTTCCTTAAGTCAAAATTTTAAAATTTTGACCAACTTTTCAGGAAAAAGTAGCAACATTCATGACACTAAATTAGTATCACTGGATCTGTTTTGAAATGTATTTTGACAATACTGTGTACGAAATTGATGTCATATATGCTATTACTACTACTACTATTTTTTTATAAAGTTTGCCAACATATTAAAACTTTGGCTTAGAACAAAAGTTAGATGTACGCTTATTCCCATATGGAGGGAGTAAGGTCTCTTTGACTCATTGAGAACCTTTTATTTTATTTTTTTGCGGGGAGAAGCATTTCATATAATTTAATCATCTTGGGGGTTACAAATCTTTTGAAATAATAATGCTAATATCCTGTGGGGAAATTGATAACCAACATGCCCGTATGCTGCTGGCTACGACCTGACATAGCATGAGCAACATTATTTTGTGATCTACTGATTTTCAAAACTGTGCTGGGCGCTCTTATTTGGTCATCTATGCTCGAACGATCTCTGTTGCACTCGATTGATTCAAGGAGCTCTATGATCTCAACGCGACCAGGTCCCACATGACTCCACCCCACGAGAATGCAAATCATTTTACACATGCACGCAGATACGTACACCCTCTACATTTAACAAGACACACGATTCCAACCCTCATCTCATCACATTTTCTTAAAAGAAATGAGATCGCTGGAGGCATGAAACACGAACAACGATTCAGCAAATACTCTAATCAACCAGCTCGATCTGCAGTGTATACATTCAGCTGCCAGACGAAAACATATCGCCCGTTGATTTTTTTTTTAGATTTGATTAATCGGTGAGGGCAGATGATGATGATTAATCACACGGTAGCACGCAGTGATGCGTGAACCCAACTACCGTCGTTGAACACTGGTATCATATACACCAAATGGCTAATCAAACTGCTTACACCGACTGATGATCTCGGAACAGGTATACACGTTCCTTCCGGTGATTTGGATTGCTCATTAATATGGATGAACCAACGTGCGTGGCTATATCATATGTGTCATGATCCCGTCACAAGGGAGTGGCTAATCAAATCCTGACGGTTTGGCAATACTAAAGATCGTGTTGAAATTTGTTTCCAACGATTATTCAAAAAATATGTTCTTAATGATTATCATAAAGAAACATGTTGTTCCATCTAAGGAGAGAGCACGTGAAAAATCGGGCAACTTGTATGTGTGCCCATGTGGATATATATGTCTGTTTGGCAGGTAACTACGGAGGATCCCGGTGGTTTCTTTTGTGGTTTGCCCTGCGAAATGTTAGCATGATTGTGCTTTTTTTAATACAGTACAGACGCAAGCGCTCCCATTAGCATGATTGTGTTGATGTTAAAAGGTTGGCATCCAATATTTGGCAAGTGACAATTGTTTGGCTACCAACATTCTTGCCAACCTTAGAAAAACTTGTCAATTTTTTTGGCAACTTTCGATTTTGCCAAATGCTTGCTTGCCAAATATTGATATCAAACCTATTATGCTTTGTTTGCTCTCTGTCGATCAGTTTTTAGTCAACTACATATCAACTATGATATTCATGCCAAACTGCCAAACCGTCAAAAATTGTGTACCTTCCTTGCCGTTGCCGGGTTTTGGGCCCAATGAAGCCTAGACAATTATGGCATTAATTCATTGTATCCTGCCTCTAACAGATATTTTGGGCGACTATTCAAATCTCAGCAGCTGGCGCGTAAACATCGATCGGGCAGGGTCGATGCCATCGAGAAACACTGCAGGCGCAGACATGCGTGGGCATGCATGCATGCATGTGCAACTAGTTTCGTGATCAGGACCAGTGGACCGCTGCCCTGACATATATCTCTAAACAGCTGATCGACACCGACATGAATCTTAATGTCCTGCATAATTGTTTTTTAAACAACTGCATGATTGTTTTTCTAAAACATTGTATAGATGTAGATGCTCATACACGTACACTCATCTCAATGAATGTACACACGCACACCCTGTCTCTACGAGAATCTTCAAGAGACTGAGCCGGCAGATTTTAAGATTGACGAAGTTATCATGAACGTCTCATGGTTGACGGACACGCCATATCACTGAAAGAGCATCATCAGAAAGTCTAAAATAATTCAAAAAAATGCAACGACCTATGCCAAGTCTAGAATTTAGTCGGACTAAACCCGGGTGAGCAGATTCGAACCAAACCGTAGTGTTCTGAATAATTGTGATGCTATGTGGTACTCCCTCTTTCCCATTATGTTAGGCGCATGAGCCTTTTGCACGAAAATTAGGCATAGAAGAGTCGTACGGTTACATGATAGGTGAGGGCTCCTCCATGATCTCCTCTAACTACCTGGTTGGCCGATCCAATTTTTGGCTCAAACAAGAATGACCTCTTGCGCATGCCCATGCAGCTGGTTAGATCGCTAACCACACGAGAAAAAAAAT